TTCCTCTTGTGGCGATTCTGCATCCAAAATATTCTGGGCCTCCGGTGAAGTGTCTCTCCCCACCGAGTGCAGTCCCTAGGTCTTAGAAGGGAGTGATTCCCTGAAGCTGATGATAATTTTTAGCTATCTCTTGGTCTCCTCTCCCTGTGTCCTGTTGAATTCTAATGAATAATATTCACATCACATTAAATTTTTATTTCTTATGAAATTTTCCTAAATTGTCATCTTGTCTCCCAATCCTTGAAGAATAAATAACCCTTGATCTTGCAGATCCAACAATCTTAATTCAGTTCAGCTGCCACAGTTGATAGATGAGGAAACTAAAGCTCAGAGAAGGGAAGTGATAGACCAAAAAATGCTGGGGACTATTTGGAATCAGAGCTGAAGCCGTAACTCTGGTCTTCGTCCTCTTAGGCTAATCTACTTGTGTCATTTTTTTGCTTCATTCCAGATTGGCAAGATTGTAATGATGAAAGATGACAGGGTTGCTTATGCACCTTGTATTCTTGTATATTATAAATATAAACCTGAGTATATGTTTCCCAGTACCTTATATTAATGTTTGCCATATTGTTTTTCAGGCTACAATGAATTGGTCTCAGTGTAATTGTGTATAAATACTGCCCGTTGGTCTCTCCTTATTAGTAGATGCTAACTAACATTACAAGGTAATAATTGGTTATGCTGTATTAGGAGAATAACAGTTTACAACAATATTACTTGCAATAAACTTCATACTTTCTTTTCCTATTCAGTGAAGCAATTGTTTGGCTTTATGGCTACACAGACAGTTTTTCTTTCATAGCTAAGTTTATTTTGTCATAAGGCAATCAGGTGGCACAAAAGTATTAACAACTACAGGAAACCAACATCTAGCAAAGAAATGTGAAGATCGTGTTCACCCTGAATAAACAAGTGCCTTTAAAAAAAATTCTTCCAACTTTTAACTTCAAAGGGAAAAGTTGAAAAAGAAGTATCGTAAAGACACATGCACGCTTTATTTAGATTCACAAATTAACATTTTCTGGGATTGGCTTTGCCTCTATGTCTCTTTTCCTCTTCACATACACACTCATTTTTTCTCTCTTACACACTCGTAGATATACATGCACACACTCACATTTTGGGGAGCTGTGAACTGCTTGAAAGCGAATTGCAGACGTCAAGATTATACAAAAATTCTTAAGGGATTTTTTCCAAAATTAGCACATTCTTTTATATTACTACAATAACAATCACAAGACATTTGCTACTGATAATTAATATTATGTAGTATACAGTCTAAATTTAAATGTCTCCACTTGCTCTCAAATATTCTATTAGTCAGGGATCTTATATTGGATTTTTTGGTCATGTTTCTTATTTTCATCAGTCTAGAATATTGCTTCCCCTCCACCTTTTCCCTAATCTTTTACAACCTTGACATTTTTGAAGCGTCCAGACTAAGTGTCTCATAGAATGTTTCTCAAACTGGATTCATCTAACTGTTCTGGATTAGACAAAATTTTCAGGCAAATATTATGTTTCCCGTTGCATTGCATCGGGAAGTTTATAATGTTACTTTATCTCAATATTTGTGAAGCTTAAATTTCATCTCTTCTATTTATATTCCGTACTTAATAAACATTTGATGGATAATAGAGATATATGAATGTCCTTTTCCTAAAAATATGTTAGTGTATAGCGTTAAGAGTAATTTTGTGCCAGAATCTCATATTACCTTGGCGGTATTAGCAAAACAGTGATTTTAAAATTCAGTCATTTTTATAGATCAGGGCCAGTAGATTTTTCCAGTAAACAGCCACATACTAAGTCTTTTAGGCTTTGTGGGCCACATATGGTCTCTGTTACGTATTCTATTTCTTCTTTAGCTGTGTAAAAATTATTAGCTCCTGGACTGCAGGAAAATGGTCTGTAGCAGGATTTGGGCCATGAGTAGCAGTTTGTCAAAGTCCTGTTCTCTGTTATAAAGAAGAGCTTTCCTTTTCCTTGTAACACCTGTGTGCCTGTGTGTGTGTGTGTGTGTGTGTGTGTGTGTGTTTGTGTGTTTGTGTGTGTGTAAGAGGGAGAAAATGAGATTCTTTAATAACTTTATTTCTTTTATAGAGTTGGTCTCTTTAAGCTTTTTGTTTTTTAAATAAATACTCTTTGGATTTAACTTTGGTAAATAACACTGTCTTAAGATAATTTCAATTTCATTTTCTTCTATGCTTTCTGATACAATAGCCACTAGCTGCATGAGACCATTAAAATTTAAACATTATAATGAAATTATAATTAGAAATTAAATAAATTAATAATTAGAACAAATTTAGTTTCTCTGTCACATGAGCCACATTTAAGTGTACAAGTATTCACTCAACACACGTAGCTAGTGGCTACATATTGAACAGTGCAGATGTAGGACATTTTTATGATTTGGAAGTTGAATTGGATAGTAATAAATACAGATTTCAAATGCATTTGCACAGAGTTGTGCAAAATAGTCCCTCATAATTAGAGTTAACTTACAATTTTTTTCTTGTCTTTTTTTGCTTTTATGCTTATTTCCCTTCTTACTAATTTGTCTATTTTCTTTTTTTTTAAGGTACCAAAGTATTTATTATATCTGCTATTTTTCTGTTTTTATCTCACATTTTCCTTTCCTTATGCTTTCTTTTGATTTAGTTTATCAGTTTTTTTTTTAACTTTTATTTTAGGTTCAGAGGTAACTGTGCAGGTTTATTATATAAGTGTCACTGGGGATTGTTGTACAGATTATTTGTCACCTATGTGGTAGGCACTGTACCTCATAGGTAGTTTTTCAGTCCTGACCCTCCTCTTTCCTTCATCCTCAAATAAGTCCCAGTGTCTGTTGAGTCCATGTGTACTCAATGTTGAGCTTCTACTTGTGAGAACACGTAGTTTGTGGTTTTCTGTTCCTCTGTTAGTTTACGTAAGATAATGGCTT